ATCCCGAAGGGATAAGATCAAGATCCCTAAAAAGGGGGGATAACAATCGGTGGGGAAAGGAAAGGATGGGATTTCTTTCCTCCCACCTTTGCCAACGCCCCAATGGACTTGGAGGGCAAGAAATAATCCCCCTCCACCCCTGTATATAGTGGGGAGGCGCATGGGAGCTGCACCCTTTCCCCTGGCGCAGCCCTCCCCCTCTCGCAAGTCCTCCTCCTCTCCCGCGGTGCTTGGCGAAGCCCTGCAGGATTGCCACGCTCCTTCATCACCACCACACCGTCGTGCTGCTCCTGGATGGAGTCTTCCCCAACCTCTCCCTCTCTCCTTGCTGGATCAAGGCATGGGAGACGTCACCGGGCTGTACGTGTGTTGAACGCGGAGGTACCGTCCGTTCGGCACCAGGATCTCCGGTGATTTGGATCACGACGAGTACGACTCCTTCAACCCCGTTCTTTTGAACGCTTCCGCTTAGCGATCTACAAGGGTATGTAGATGCACTCTCCTTCCCCTCGTTGCTAGTTTCTCCATAGATAGATCTTGGTGACACGTAGAAAAATTTTGAATTTCTGCTACGTTCCCCAACACCTGTCACCCAGGAGCCTACAGAACCTGTACCAAGGCAGGGTGTTAGGTACAATTCCAGTACCTCTCCACCATTCAATTGCAGGGCCCTTAAGGTATGTCACTGCAATTTCTGTTTTCTGCTCAAGTGGGGTTCTAGCAGCCTCAAAGTACAACTCAATAGTCTGTATCCATGAATCAGTACCAGTGCCATCAAATTCAGGAATGTTGTACTTTGCTGGTTTGACTATTGGTAGAGGTCTTCTGTTGTCCAATCCTTGGTCTCTTTGCCCTATTCCACCTTTGGTTTCTTGTTGTGGGACTTGTTCAACTTGCTCCAGGTCCAGCTGCACTATCTGCTGAGCATTCAGAGTTTGATTTACAACAGTGGGTGCTCTGGTTTTAGGAGCAGGCTGTTTACTAGCACCAAAGTGTGGATACCTATAAGGGGCCTTGTTGCTTCCATCCAAGTTCAGCTCTTTGCCAGTGTTTTTGTCCACTAATGTTGCAAAACCCACAGTTGGAGGAGTTTGAAGGACAGCCGCTGGTGCATGAGTTGGGCCTTGTGGTGTTTGTTGTTGTTGGCCACTACCTTGTGCCACCTCGTGAGGACTTGGAGGATTTTCCTTGGGTTTGGGAAAGCCCGCAATGAAGCTGTTCAGAGAGCCCTGCAATTCACTCAAGGTTTTCTGCAGTGAGTGAAAATTTGTGGAAACGTGGTCTCTGAAATCCTCAAAGTCTTGTCTGTCTGTTTCTCTGTTCTGCTGCAGGGTTTTGACATCCAGTTGCAAGGATTGGAACTCCAAGTTTGCAGTAGACGAGGAATCCGTAGGGCCCGTCATGCTTGCACCAACAGAGCACAGGGAGGGTTTTTACAACTAGCAGAGTGCCAAGTAACCTCGCTGTGTGTGATCAGCCAGCGAAAGGGAGGAATTTTACCACAGCCGGAGCTGCAACCCGACCTTGGCCTTCGATCCTGCCGCCGCCAGCACCGCCGCCAACGTCGCGCCGCCAGAAGTACACCGGATCTGGGAGGGAGGGAGGGATTTTACCACAGAGACAGTGTGTTTCTGCAACCTCTTCCCGCGCCCAAACCTGTACCGAATTTCTCACCGCCGCCGGAGATCCACCGCCGCCTAACGTCGCCAGTGAGAAGTGGAGGATTTTATGGCGCCTCCAACTCCTCCTCGGCACCGGATCTCGCGCCGCCAAGGAGAAACCTTGTTCTGATTACCACTTGTCAGACCCGGAGGAGTCTGAAGATCAACATTCAGAGAAAAGGGGGAGAATTCCACTCAAGCTAGCTCGATTTACTGGCTTAATTCAGAGAGTTTAGTACAAACCAGGAGGAACGTAAGGCCAGCCAGGAACACTGGCGGCGGAAGGGGGAAACCCTAACAAGTTTTCATGCCCTTCACGAGCAGGAATCCTTGGCTTTATAGCCTTACAAATTGGGGGGAAAAGTAAGAAAGTGAAACGAAAAACAGTGGGGCACTGAAAGTCCTTGCCGGAAAGTGAACAGTGACCCGAGCTTTGATGCTAGCCGTCCGATTCCCTTCGACGCGATCCAGAGCTTCTCTTTACGTGAAGCGGTACGAACGAAGGAAGAGCGTCCGATGAGCCATGGACGGCCTAGGGAGCTTCGCGCCAACGGCAGAGGATTTAAACTAAGCCGGACTGTTGTTGATCCTTCAGTTGGGTCCTGACAACTCAGGTAACACGGCGAGATCTTTTTAGTCCCACGTCGCACAGCGGCTAGGAATCCCACCAGTTTATAGATGTTGGCCTCGGCAGATTCATCTCCGATTAGAGGGGCGCCATTAAAAATAAGAAATTGAAATAGTACTCGGCTGACATTTCTTTATCCAGTGAAGATCACTTATGTAGTGGGACAGTACTAATAAGACAACGAATTTAACACATCTCAGTGGCTCGGGTCAGTTGGCGAAACTAAATGTGAGAGTATTTTCTTCAAATTTGTAGCCCGTAAGTTGGTAAATAAAATTACCAGGGATTTATGATTGATGGTAATGTTTCCTGGAGATGGTTTACAAGCACAGCAGCAACGAGTTTCTTCCAGACAATGATCTCTACTGGATATATATGCACAATTACGAATAATTTTTAACCTTATTATACATCAATACTAATGCAGATTAACCTACTTGTACTGTCTATGAAGTACAAACTAGTGGATAAGCAGATGAAAGGGCATATGATGTTTTTTTCGAAAAGGGGGGTTCCCTGGCCTCTGCATCAAGAGTGATGCATACGACCATCTTATTAAGCAAGAAACAAATTGTGCCAACAAAGTTCCAAAGTCTCAAACTTAAAGAAAGAAAAAGCAGCTCACACAGAGCACAAAAGGCTAGATACACAAACTAGTCAGGATAAGATGCCACAACCGGCTGGCTAAAAAAGGTAGGTAAACTAATTGCCTATCCTATTACATGACCGCCATCCAAACCGGTTGAAGATATCCCGAGCTACCATCTCCCAACGGATAGACCCAGTAACCAAATGCTCCCTGGCCTCCATCGGAGTGTGTAGCGACCACGAATGGATCACTGCCGTAGCTCGGAAAATAACCTGCAAAAAATGAATCCGTGATGTTTTGTTAAAAACCAAATCATTTCTGCAAAGCCAGACGGTCCACAGCAAAGCACAGACTCCAACCCGAATATGTCTTGCTAAGGTAGACTCAATCCCATTAAGCCAAGTCCCAAATAAAGCATTAACAGTAGTCGGTGAAGTAATGTTAAAAGCAATATGGACCATCCGCCAAAGGACCTTGGCCAACGGGCAATCAAAAAAGAGATGCTTAATCGTCTCATCCCGATCACAGAAACTACACCTAGTAGGTCCTGTCCAATTACGCTTTATTAAGTTGTCCTTTGTTAGAATAACTTGTTTATGGACAAACCACATAAACACTTTTATTTTCAAAGGAACTTTGACATCCCAGACATTCTTGGAAGTTGGAATGGAGTTCGAATTAATAACATCAATATACATTGACTTAACTGTAAATACTCCAGACCTAGTCAACTTCCAGCGTAATTCATCAGGTTGGTCAGAAAGTTGAACCTCCATTAGTCTCCTAACTAAATGGAGCCAAACTTCCCAACGATTGCCCGCTAGCGACCGTCTAAACTGAATATTAAGGGGGATAGATTGAAATATCGTCGCAACGAACACCTCACGTCATTGAGCAATACGATATAAAGACGGATATTGAATGGCTAAGGGTGAGTCGCCAAGCCAAGTATCCTCCCAGAAACATGTAGTAGCACCATTTCCAATAACAACTCTCGTCCTATTGAACAGTAATTGTTTAACTTTCATGAGTCCTTTCCAGAAAGGCGAGTCAGTCAGCCTAACTGTTACCTGGGACAGTGTTCTAGTCTGGAGGTACTTGCTGCGAAGGATCTGCGCCCACATGGCTTCAGTCCCGGAAGTGAGCTTCCACAACCACTTACTAAGAAGGCATCTGTTCTTAACTTCAAGATTCTCAATATCAAGCCCTCCTTGGTCTTTGGGTCGACAGATAATATCTCATTTAGCAAGCCGGTATTTTCTTTTAAGTTCATCACCCTGCCAAAAGAAGCGTGATCGATAAAAGTCCAGTCTTTTCCTAACACCAACTGGGACCTCAAAGAACGATAAGAGGAACATAGGCATACTCGTGAGCACCGAATTTATCAAGATTAACCGGCCTCCGTATGACATGAGCTTACCCTTTCAGCAACTCAGTTTCCTCTCAAATCGGTCCTCGATACACTTTCACTCTCTGTTTGTCAGCCTACGATGGTGTATCGGAATACCAAGGTAGGAGAAGGACAAACTCCCCAACTCGCACCCAAACAATTGCCTATAAGACTCCTGTTTGTCTTTGGCTCTACCAAAGCAGAACAACTCGCTCTTATGAAAGTTAATCTTTAACCCGGACAATTGTTTAAAGAGGCATAACAACAGCTTCATATTTCTCGCCTTGGCCAAGTCGTGCTCCACAAAGATGATTGTATTATCAGCATATTGAAGGATGGATACACCTCCATCAACAAGATGAGGTACCAAACCACCCACTTGACCATTCTCCTTAGCCCTCCCTATCAAAATTGCTAACATACCCACCACAATGTTAAACAGGATAGAGGACCATATGATCAAAATTGCTAACATACCCACCACAATGTTAAACAAGAAAGGGCATATGATGTAGTGACTATCTATTTCGTATCTTTATTAGTCATATGTATCCCCGATCGTTTGCTCCATCAGGAACCATAAACTAAAGCAGATACATGTTGGTTACTGAAGAGACCCAGAGGAGCAACTTCTGAATCTTAAGTATGCCAAAAGTACATTCAACATTTAAATAATTGTGTTTACCTTTTGATTACCACAGGGTGGGTACAAACTGGTCCTTCTGACCCGTGATGATAACTCAAGGTTGGGCAGCGGCGGCTGTGGTAGCAAACGGTGGTGGCGGCAGAAGGGGAGATGAGAAGAAGGCGGCTCCAGGGTGTGACGTGGAGGCACTGCGCAAGTGCCTGGAAGAGAACAAGGGTGATCGCATCAAGTGCCAGGCCCACATCGATGCCTTCCGATCCTCATGTTCTGTCAGCCCCACCACCACCTCCGACCAACGTCCCAGCGAATGATCTTCCAGTTCTTCGCTCCCAATCAAAATAATTTTTCACCAACTTTTGCCCATGGATTTATTAAGTAAATTCTTCCTACCCTGTCTGCAACTCTGGTTAATTTACATGTTCATATGGATATAAGATTGATAGGGCCTTATCGGATCCACTATTTTCAACAAATGAAATTTTGTTCAAGTTGAAAGCCAAACATGACTGTTGCTAATAGTGTTAGGTTAGTCATCACTCCAAGGTCTTCTAGAGAAATGGAGCAGCTGCTTTGGAGAGGCATTAATATAAATAAATCTGATAAACATACTATACATATTGATAGATCCTACATACAGAGAAAGAAACCATGTCATCTGTAAACTTCTAAACACTTTCTCTGAACCGGTTGGTATAGTTTTAAGGGCAATTAGGACTGAAACATGGTGCTATTTTGTTGGTGCAGGTACAAAAGGAGACCTGAAACACTGGTGTTGTTACTGGGGTGGTTTTACAAGAAACCTTGTGGAATAATTAGGACTGCGCAAATGGTCATGTGAAAGATAGGATAATTAGGACTTAGACTAGCAGTTTTTTTTTTACTTTCTTTCTCACTGCTGTGTATGGTATTTGTTGGTTTGGAAATAATAAGCATTGCCAAAACTCTGTAACTCGATGTCAACATAGCGAATAGCTTAGCTTTCAGAACCACCATTTTCTTCAGTGAGTCACTTCTTGGAACGGGCTGTGCTAGCCTACTTCACAATTTGGGGTCTCAAAAGCTTAGCCTAGTTTCGTCTGGTGTTTTGGATAATATGCACCTGATTCAAAGATCTTGTTAAGGTGCATAAGCTTTGTTTTTTCCTTCTTCCACTTTTACTTGGGGATTTGGTTAATAAATAAAATGGTTCAGCGACTTTTACTTGCAACTAGTAGTTTAAATTATAACAGGGGAGTTGGTTATTCTTGCCTCACCCTGTTGAGTTTCCAGGTTTGCAGGAGGACAAGAAGCAAATGAGTAGGATATCATCGTTCATCGACTTATCATATATAATGAAATCCTACTAATTGCACAGTTTAGTACTCCCCCCGTAGTTAGCAAATCAACTAGAACAATCTGAAAGCCCCAAATTCAAATCACTATCTTATTTTTCTCAACTGCAGTATTAGTAGTTTTTCCAAGAGGTGACCCAAATCAGTTAGGAAAGAGGTAATTGCACCAGTGGTGCCTAAACTTGCCAGCGATGTTCACTTTGATGCCTAAACTTGAAAAATACACCGAACTTGTTCCAATACTTAACATTCTTGTTCAAATACGGTTCAATTTACGTTTCGATACGTCTGTATGGCTGACTAGGCATGCCAAAGTGGCGTGAGGCCAATATATGTCCTTATGACCATCGGGCCACACCTGTCAGCACGCAACGCAAATAAACAAAATAAAATAATTAATAGCCTAGTGTGCCCCCAAGATACATTTTAAATTAAAGGTACATTTTATAATTCATAAAATTATTTTAACTAAATGAATTTTTAGAATATGCAAATATTTTTAAATATTACATTATGAAAGCAAGTTATTTCTTTGCATTTTATTTATAAGACAAGAATATATTTTTTTGTGTCAAAGGGCCACGTAAAACTGGAAAAAAACAAACATCCTAGGAAAGAACCGAGTGAATATTATTTGAAAAACCTGAATATTTTGAAAAAATAGATTAACATTTTGAAAACATAAAAACATATTCAAATTGAAAAATTAATTTTATTAAATATGTGAAAGATTTTTATAATCATGAAACATTTTTAGAATTCATACTACAGGAACATTTATTTATTATTATGGCAATAGTTTACATATTTTGTTTATAATTTCATAAAAAGGAAAAACAACTAACATGCGGAAATGGGAGCACTGACTGCAGCTCATTTAATTCCACGAGCCTGCTTCGATTGATAAAGCATGTGCATGCGAAGTAAACATAAATGTAGGTTGGCCAATCTGCTTAGTACACTCGCCTATAGTTTATGTGTTTGTCAAAGTATATATTTCTGAATAAAAATAAATTCAAAAATGTGTGTGAAAAAACAATTAATAGCCTAGTGTGCCCCAAGGTACATGTTATAATTCATAAAATTATTTGAGCCTGCAGCCCATTTACCTCCACGAGCCCGCTTCATCGTTCTAATTCCCAAGATTGCTAGCCCAAAAAATTTAGCACAGTTTCGACCGATAAGTCTCTGCAATGTGATCTTTAAGATTGCATCAAAGGTATTGGCTAATCGGCTCAAGCTTATTCTCCCCGATATCATCTCCGAGGAACAGTCAACATTTGTTCCAGGGCGTCTCATTACTGACAATTTTATATTTGCCTATGAGTGTCTCCACTATATGAAATCCAGGAAGCTCAAGAGTAACAGGTTCTGTGCTCCGAAGCTTGATATGATGAAAGCCTACGATCGGCTCGAGTGGACCTATCTGGGAAAGGTTATGCTCAAGATGGGAATCAGCCCACAGTTTATGCAAACAGTAATGAGGTGTGTAACCTCAGTTTCCTTCTCAGTTATCTTTAATGGTGGTAAGCAAGAGGAGTTCAGACCCTCTCGTGGACTCAGGCAGGGTGATCCCATATCGCCATATCTTTTCCTATTGGCCGCCGAAGGTCTCTCTTGCCTCCTGAAATCCACAAATCCAGATGAGAGCATCAATGGTATAAAAGTGGCACTGGGAGCCCCGCAGGTAAACCACCTCCTTTTTGCAGATGATAGTCTGCTTTTCTTTGATGCCACATCTGTCATGGCCAACAGAGTTGAGAATGTTTTGCAAAAGTATTGCCTTGCTTCCAGACAGCGTATCAATAAGGAGAAGTCCTCGATTTTCTTCAGTAAAGGCTGTTCGGAAGGAGTGAGACAGGAAATCAAACATATCCTCTCAGTCCAGAATGAGAAGTTGTCTGAAAAGTACCTTGGCCTCCCGGCGAATGTTGGCAGGGCAAAGGAAGGATCCTTCAAGTATCTTAAGGATAGGATATGGAAGCAAGTGCAGGGCTAGATGGAGAAGGCGCTTTCTGTGTGAGGGAAAGAAGTGCTTATCAAGTCGGTTGCTCAAGCTATCCCGACGTATTCAATGGCGTGCTTCAAGTTACCACGAGGCTTGTGTCAACACATTAATGGCCTTATGAGGAAATTCTGGTGGGGATCCAATAAGGGCGAGAGGAAGACCGCGTGGGTTTCTTGGGATGTGATGACACAGCCGAAGTTTATGGGAGGCATGGGGTTTCGTGATATCGAGCTTTTTAACCTTGCTCTGCTGGCCAGACAAGCCTGGCGGCTACTCCAGGAACCCAACTCTCTCAGTGCACGTATCCTCAAGGCCGTGTACTACCCTTCGGCTTCAATCCTTGAAGCTGAGCTGGGAAGAACCCGTCACAGGTCTGGCGCTCTTTGATCGAAGGCAGAGACACGCTCAAGCTTGGGCTGATAAAGCGGATTGGATCCGGCGAAGACACAAATCTCTGGGATGATAACTGGATACCACGCGATTTTAAACTGCGCCTGGTATGCCCGAAATCGTTGAACCCACCGCAGCTGGTTTCGGATCTGATTAACCCTGTCACCTTTGCATGGAATACAGAGGCTTTGGATGAACACTTGTACCCAATGGACAAGGAGGCAATTCTTAACATCCTGCTTAGCTCTCGTGTTCGCCATGATTTCTGGTCATGGCACTATGAGCGAAAGGGTGTCTTCACAGTGCGTTCGGCTTACAAGCTGCTGTCCGCCACCAAGCAACAACGCACGGACTGGCTCGAGCACAATGATGGACACTCGCGGATTGAAGCAGACCGTGGATCTTGGGTGAAACTTTGGGGAGCTGCGGTCCCTTCCAAAGTTCGTGTCTTTGCTTGGAGATTGGCCAAGTGCTCAATTCCTACAAGAGAAGTTCGAAAGCATAGGAGCATGGCCGACTCGGCGGAGTGCTCATTATGTCACGCGGCGGTCGATACTTGGCGCCACTCCCTCTTTGATTGCCGCATGGCACGCTGTGTTTGGGCTCTTGCTGACGAGGATCTCACAAATACTGTCATCTCCAACAGAACAGGAAGAGCCGAAGCTCTGGATGTTATGGCTAGTAGACACATTAACCACTGCTGATTTGGCCCGTGTCCTTGTTACCTTGTGGGCCATCTGGTGGGCGCGGCGACGAGCCATACATGATCACCAGTTCCAGAGCCCGTTATCCACTCATATCTTTGTGGACAAGTACTTGGCAGAGTTGGAGATGTTGCCAAAGCAGAATACAAAGCCAAAGGAGCGGAATGCAAACCCTAGGGACCTGCATGTGAATTACAGGGACCTGCATGTAAATCCAAGATTAAGGGCGGAGTCGGCGGCTGGGATCGGGTGGCTCCCGCCCGCGAGCCACGATTACAAAATCAATGTCGATGGGGGCTTCTCCAAGATAGGAGACCGGGCTGCCTCAACTGTTGTATGTAGGGACAAGGAGGGCAAGTATATTGGAGCCTCGGCGATCATCTACGAGGGCCGTTTCGATCCGACAATCCTTGAAGCCGAAGCATGCAACGAAGCCCTCTCTCTTGCTGCCGATCTTCAGCTCCGGTTCGTCTGTGTTGCATCTAACTGCCTTGAGGTGGTAGCGAATATAAGGGAGGAAGTTTCATGCAGATACTACCCTATCTTACAGGACATAAAGTATCAAAGTAGGCTCTTTAGCGACCTTAGTTTTATTCATGAAAATAGAAAGTTCAATGGAGAGGCTCATGCCTTGGCAAAGGCAGCTGCTTCTCTTAGTCCTGGGCGCCATGTGTGGCTTAGTATTATGCCCGATATCATCTGTATCCCATTATGCTTGAACGTTCAATAAAGGGTGCGGATTGCTCAAAAAAAAACTGAAATATACGTTGGTTGATCTGGTTAGTATTAGTCGCCTGCTACGTGTGATGTCGCGGGTTCGTAACCTAGCTGAGTCTTTATTTTGTTTATTTGCGCTGCTCGCTTACAGGGTTTTTTTT